CACATTATAAAATGTCAAAATATGCAATTATATGCCATAAAATGTATTAGATATACTTATTTTTTCAACAAATATGTGCGAAAAAATAGTAAACATTAATCCAAAAAATGTATATACTCCTTTGAATGTGCATTTGAAATTACTTTATTACAAAAATCACAGCTGATAAATACGAAAAAAATATCAATTAGTTTTCGATCTATTAAAGTTAAATTTTACATAGGTTAAGCGTTTTAAGTATCAGGATTACACTGTACAACAATAATTCCGTTGATATTTTCAAACTTGAAGGACTTTCGACGATCCGACAAGAAGGTTTTGTAGACTGAAAACAACAAAATTAACGGTAATGATCGGTAATTTATAATAAATTTTTAATATTAAACTTATAATTCATAAAATATATGCTACTTAACCTAGAAACAATCGATATATGCATTTATACGCTCAAAAATGTCAAATATGCAAAATAAGTTTGCAATCGAGATTTTATGAATCGAATTTATATTACATTAGGGTATAGTTCTGGTTGCGGGAAAAAAATATGTCAAGTCATAAACATCCGAACTCCAATAGTTACATTAAGGAATTTGTAAATTATAAATACGTTTATTCGTCGTACAGGCACCGCTCTGTATACACGCTGCAGCTGTTAAATTTCCAAGTACGTTATTACAACTGTTATCAATTTTTATTAACGACTTCTATGATTTCGTTTGACACTTCAGTTTTATTTTTTTTCCCCCTCCCGAAGTCGATTCAATTAATTTATAAAAGTAAACACGTACTACAGTTTACTAGGCTTCAACCAATAACCTTTTTTTTTTTTTTTTACAGCAGTATATATTTATATGATGGAGTATAAATATGTATACGTGTTTTAGAACATTAAAAATTTTACAATTTATTTTCAACTGTATATATTAATAATATATGGAACTCGTTTTATATTGTGTCGGTAAAATAATTAATTCCACGCCAGTGCCTATGCCGGCTGCCAAACGTACGTATAAATCATCTCGTACAATTTTCAGTTTCATCCGTGTATAATATATTATTTTGAACGCGTTTAGCTCGAGTTCTTAGAGTTGGTATTTATTTAATCTGGAGGTATACGTTTGTGATAGACAATCGGTTATAAATCGAACCGTGCCTTTGGCCATGTACGATTTTTGTCGTGTAGTAAATTAATATTAATATTCTCGTGTGCAATCGGTCAGTGAAGCGTTGGTTTTTTTTTTCTTCGATCAACATTCACTGAAATATAAATAAAAAAACGGTGTTATACATTAACATATTATGATAATATTATACATTGTTTATGAATAATATATACTTAAATAATATGTAAACATACACCTTAATATATTTTAAGTTTAAATAGTATAATTGAAATTAAGTGCGTCCGTCCATCAGCCTAGAAATTATGAGAACGTTTATATATGTGGTCGTATTATTATAACAAACAAGTCTACAGCTGTTTTTCGTAAGATTAATAGTTACAAGAGAAGATTTTCGTTAATGTTAAAAACCTCGTGAAAGCAAAAATCACGTTGATAGATGACACTGTAAAATGTATAACTATAATAATATACATATATGCGTTTCAACTTCTTCTAGAAAACATACGTATGCAGCATGTATATGCCAGCCCGTTGTAATACGATTGTTTGCACAAAAAAAAAAAACGCAACACGTGATTGTCCCCGTCTTAATTTTTACCTGCGAGAAACGCAACTCGATCATGCTTCATGAAATATAGACGTTGTCCTTTTAAAAATATTGATGTATAATAAACATTTTGTAATTTCGATTTTTTTAGCACGACTGTACAAAACGAAAAACATTCACAATTTTCAACACTAATATCTTTTGAACTATATAATAACCGAGAATTTTTTGTAACGATAATATATTTTATTTGTCGATATCAGTTATTAGTCGGTATTGGTATACATATAAGTATAACTAATATTCCGCGAGGCGAAAACGAACTAACGTCGAACCGACCAAAATTTGAAAACAATGTAAGGCGACGACGACCGGGCAGTCGCGGAGTGCCGTGGCTAACGACCAGTTTCAAAACGAAATGCTAATTGTTTAATTAAGTTTATAACGTTTTAGTTTTGTTTTAATATAACCTAACTGTTTTAATTGTTATTAAATATTTATTTTAATGCAACCTTAAGTATAATCTCCGGTGTACTTACTGAGACGTTTACTATAAGAAAAAATAGTCAAGACACTGCTGCACTTACTATCGGTTCCAGTAATCATTTCGTGGTCAACTAAAAAAGAGTAAAATCAACCTATGAGTTTTAAAACGTAAATCTTGTGGGACCAAGTTAATTTATTATTTCGTGCAGTACTCGATGTCGTGGTCACTGAAAGGAGAAAACAGTACTTTACCAAATATATCGATATTTACACGTTTGACGGTGGTCGGGGAATCGATAACCGAAAAGTACCTGTATACACGTTAAGCTTTTGCGAGGCGTATGCAAAAGCATGCTGTCGTGTTAAGATTTTACTTCAAGTCAGCTGCAGTTGAATGTTGGTTTTTGTAACGCATATTGACATTTTCATAAAAAATAATATAACTCAAGAGTATTTAGTGCAGAGATCTAGCCAAGTGTAATAGTAATATGTTTATTTGATAAGATCGTTAAACGCGCCGTTCTGGCGCGCACAGTCATGTGTAGTAATATTACCGCATCCATAGTAATTGAAACCATGTCCCTAACAATGACCTGATATTATATTTCATAAATACATTATTTTATATTTGTATAACTTTTAACTTGAACATCGCGACGGCCATGGACCCGTCGAACGGCGAGTTGAAGCCTACGTGTAACTCGTGTGCGAGACGTAACGCCACCGCCGAATACGACTCGGGATCGTCGAGGGTAGACCAAGAGGTGTCAGTGAAAGTGCGAGGAGCGCTGGTCGACCTGAAGATCACGCTGTTGCCGCTGAACCCGGCCGGACGGTTATCCGCGGCCGAGCTGCTGACGGAGATGTTGAACAATCTGCGGCTGTCGTCGTCTACGGACATCGACGAACATATGTCCAAGAACTACGGCAGCGGTTGCGAAAGGGATCGGCAGAATCGAAACACGACCGGCTTGTCGCCCGAGGAGCTGCGGGACGCAGGGCTGCGGCTGGAAGAAAACGTGGTCATGGCCATCCGACCCGCCATCTCTTCCGCGTGCGACGCGCCGCGCGTTAAGCTGCAGAAGGGCGACGGGGCCGAACGCACCAGCCGCGTAATGAAGACGAAGTCGAAGGGTAGTAGCGATGTGCGCGGCACGTACCCGTCGTCATCGTTGTCATCGTCGACCGTGCAACCCTCGCCGATGGCCATCGGCAGCGGCGAGGGCAGCAGGCGCGTGGCGCCGAAACTATTCGACGAGGACTGGCACAAAGTGAACGAGACCTTCGAGATCCTGTTCAACGAGACGTTCCCCGAAGCCGAATGCGCATCCTGTACCGCTAAATCGTATAATTAAACAATAATAATTATTGTGTTGGTCGTTTGATGATTACATATTTTACGAGATTGACGAGCCCTCGGAGTCGGTCAAGAAACAGGGCTAGATAAATGTTGATCGGGAAACTTTAGAGTATCTAGTGTGGAGATAGTCTGCGGACAGCTATATCGTAGGGATTCCCCTGGATAACCCTATCGGCGGACATTCGCTATCGTTAACTTGTATCGAACAGTCACGTTACGGAATACCAAGAACTCGGTTACTGTATAACCTGTAGGATATTTGTCTTATTGCTATATCGGTTGATATGTATCAATATTTTTACGCTAACGCGAATTGGAAAATTGTTGGAATGACAAACTATTTAGTTCGTGGAGCGCAATAGTGTTGTATTTGCTGCAGGTAAAACGATGAAACGGGTGCAATCGAGTTGCAACCGTGCCAGTAGTCGAATAATAAACATAATCAGTACGCACTCTGGTCGAATAATATTTGAAAACAATCATTATTATAAAGCAATCGAGTAGTTCTTTGTCGAGCCATGCGAATCCGTTACAGTTTCGAGTATTTGTACGCGGCTCGAATTCTCCTGGATTAAAATTGTTTCCCATAACCGTACAACCCATGCGCTTATTGCTTACAACATTATGCATCACGAGACTTGTGCGAGAACGTTCTCGTAAATGATCCCTTTGCCCGCGAACGGTACGGTTTTTTAACGGGATCCAACCTCGGATTCGGCGGACAACATTTGAAACCACCGTACGCGGATACGAAATCAAAACGCTGCAGCGTTGTTAGCGGTTGACTCGAGCGCGCGGGAACGAAACGATAACGGTGCGCACACGAAGCTCGTGACATCGTCTTCGGCCGCGGGAATTAGTTCCCGTCGTGCGCGTTGAACCTTTCGGATCTTGACTGCGAACGAGAAAATATCAAAAACAATATCCGTTCGCGGTGCACCGGCACCGGTCTACGGTTTACCGTTTCGTGTTTAATTTTTCTGTACGCGTCGCGTACCAAAAACTTATTAACGGTCGCTGCAGGACGGCTTCTTTGTCGTTGCTGCTTTCGGCTCGTGCGCCGTCGTACGCGAACCGAAGAGAACCGACTGCGCGCCTACACGATCGCGGCACCGCGGTCGCGGTCGTCATCGTCGCCGGGTTCCGCTCGGGAAGAACGTCGTCGCGGCCGTCAGTGGCTCGGAGGCGCGCGCGCGCGCAATCGATACGCGACCGCGCGGACGGTGGACGGGGCGGCGGCGGCGCGCGGTCCCCGATCGTTGCGCGGCACCGTCGCCGTCGGGGAGGGTAGGGGCGAGACGCGGAGGGGGCGTGGTCCACATCTCCCGTACACTCCTCCCCGTCCGCGCCGCCGCAGCCTCACGCACACGCGAGCGTGCGCGCGCGCCGTACGCCGATGGCTCCCTGCCCCCGTCGCCCCTCCGCACCGCCTTCGCCGCCGCCGCCGCCGCCGCAAAAAAAAAAAAAACGCGCCACCCACCCACACACGTCTCGGCCGGCCGCGCGCGCGTTTTCGCCGTTTTTTCGTACCCGCCGGCCACGCGGGCGCGCGCGCGCCGACGTATTCCACTGCGACGCGCCGTCGCGGCCTGTACTTGGGCCCGCCGCCGGGTTTCCCGTCCGCATACGCGACCGTGCAACGTGCACACGCCGACCGTTATCACACCGTCGCTCTCCGCTAACCGTATAGGGTATATCCCGGCGGTGGTGCCGAAGTTGTTTTCGCTCCCTCACTCACTCTCTCCCTCGCTCTCTCTCTCTCTCTCTCGTTCGGTCCCTCCGTCTCATCTCCTGCCACCTCTCTATCCCGCTCACTCTTCTCGTCAATCGCTCGCTCTTCCCGTCCGCGGATCGTCTCCGCGCTCTGAACGTCGCGCCCTCGTGTCGAACAGTGTTTTCGCGTACGTCCAAGACATTTTTCGTTTTTCGTTTTCACAAAAGTCCGCGCACACTTGCCCCCCCCCCCCCCCCGTCCACTCACCACCGTTTCGCCCGAAACACGAACCGTCCGTCCGCCGTGGCCGTACCGGTGCGCAGTCCGTCGCCGATAGCCGCGTCGTCGCTATCTACCCGATTCGGTGGACGAGTGACCGCCGCCGTCGTCGCAGCCGCCGCCGCCGACAACGAGCGCACAACACACAAGGATACCGTGGTAATTAATTTGCTTTTGCTTCTCTTTCGAGTCGACACGTTACGCGGGGCTCATGTGTTCTTTTTGTGAACCCCCCCCCCCTCACACGGTCGACAGCGCGTTGCGTTACCGCGGTCCTCGACGTTTACCGGATCCTCCGTGCGACCCGATCGAGAATCACGTTCAACGAGGGTCACGGACCACTACCACCACCCCCGCCCGCCCACCACTGAAGCCCGAATTTTTTAACCGAACCGTTTAACTGAATCGTTGTTCAACCTAGCCGCCGCGGCGCACGAGCAAAGTTCGCTGCTTGCTGTCGATCCGAGAACAATTAATTTAAGGGAATGTGATCAGCGTCGTCGTGCGCTCGCCGCACTGGTGGTGAACCGCAATACCGCTGGAGCAACCGGGACACGCATGATCTTGCGTCACGGTCAGGGATGTACCGGAGAGTCCGTCGAAACGTTTCTCAGTGCCGGTGTCGAACGCGCCGCGGGAGCGCGAAACAATTGTTTACGGAACATTTACAATGTTAGTGGCGATCTCGTATCGGTCAGATTCGGTGACGGGGGCCGCGTCCAACCGTTGTATGACCGTGTTTTAAACATTAACGCTTCGCCAGCAAACGTGAACCGACTAGAATCGTTTCCCGTCGGTCGGCGTTTCGGGAGAGAGTGTTTTAAGTTAAAAATAAACGTGACGATGAGATTGTTCCAAGTGAAATTCGTGCGGAAAATGTTTTCGTAAGACTTCACGTAACGTTAAGGTGTTGTCCGCTGCGTTTCCATTCTGCTGTGTACATAAATAAAAAGCCACCAAAAAAAAAAAAAAAAAAATTCATAGGCTAGAACCGCATGTGATACTATTTTCGTTTACAGTTGTTCCTTTCGCGTATAGTGCGGTAACCATTATACATTGTCGATCGTTCGGTGAGATTTATCAGGAATCCTGTAGGAAAATTTGTAAAAACTATTACAAATCGAACGTGGAACTACGTGCATAGGATATTGTCCCTCGAACCGTATTGGTACCATCGCTTCGCCGATAATAATAAACACTAGTAGTATTTATAATATTTTATAATTTACAGTACATACACCCCCGTGTATTATGTACATAACAATATTACGAATATACCGGCAGCTTGCGTAGGAAGTAATCGTTTACTGTTCGACGAGATAAGTTCGTGTACGTTGTTTAACTGATTTTCACATGTAATAAAATTATAATAATAACGTCGATTACATTTCATTGCTGTTCTCGTCCTATATGCAGTAGGTACTACTAATCTGCGCGCGTACACCCAATGCCCTACATAATAATATATATTTACATATAATGCGTTCATAACTGTTTTCGACTTTGAGGAAACATGCTTATTAAACCGAAATTATACGGTCTTCAAGTTCGTAGTTGTATGTTTTTTTTTTTTTTTAATTAAATTTAAAAATTACAATACGTATGAATAGGTTTTCCGTATTTTGACGTATTATTGAACGATTAACATAAGATAACGAAGTGTGTATAATTATATCATATCCAAGATTTTTGCAGCCGGTCTGCGTCGAGGACGGTACCTATCTGTAAACTGATATAGATTAACGACTTGTTTTCGGTCTCCTTAATTTTTTACGCAAATACTTCGAATAAACTCAAAAGTTATTGTTTGTCATTGACACGCGCGTTTATTTAATATTTTATTTATACACAATACATCTCGCCGGGGAATAATTGGAACGGGAATGCGTACTGTCTAATATTAAAAAATTATATCTTCCCATCCGGATCTTGATAATAATATTGTTTGTACATATGTATGTATGTTTGTATGTATCGGTGAATTATATTTGAGTTGACGGTGTGCTGTAAAAATATATACGCTCGTTGTTTTAAATATCGATCAATAATTGTTACGTTTTTACATTTTCTACTGTAAAAATCAACGGAGTCCTTTAGAAACAGTTGCAGAGCCTTAAGGGCTCCGCGGACCACGGTTTGGGAACCGCTGCTCTAATGTATCCATTTATTAAGCGGTATCGATCTTCGAGCATGCGATTATCGAAAAGTCCTTTCTTACTGTACGTGAACAAAATAATAAGTATCTACATTCCCACAAAAGTTTTAAACTAATCTTTACGGTAATTTTAGTTGAACGCAAAGCAGTGACTGCTATTTGAACTGTACATACGTACAGGTATATATATATATAGAGATGGATAACACATGCGAATAGCAAACAATTAATCTTTAAAGCCGGTTTTTCAACTATAAAATATAGCTTTTTAATTGCCACCTTACTTTGCACGCGTCGAATTTACAATACGAATTGAAACATATTGAATCCTCGTCCCTCCTACGTAATACAGTATATTGTCAGTCACGGATGGTTAGTTTCCGTGCGGAGAAAAAAAATCTGTACCACGCGTACAGTATAACTGTATACAACGGTATTAAATATAATTCACCCTCTAAATATAAGTCTCCCTCGCCCTAACCGGATTATGCTTACGCGTATCGTACGTATAATATATATATTTATATTTTTAAAAAACTACCAAGTATATATTTATTTTATGTATACTTGACACGGTTCTAACAGGGCGTATTCTCCACGCCCTTTTTATACTACAAACACACAATGATCATCTGACCAAATTTATTTCCTCTCTACGAGTATATAAGTGAGCTGTAGACGAACGCTTTCTTGTGTACGCTAACTCTATCTAATCTAATTGGGATGGGTGGGGGGAAGTTAAGAATAATATCCTTTTTCGAAAAATCGTACCGAACAAGTTCAAAAAATAACATGTCAGCAGACATGTGATCTATAATAAATCGACTCGTATGTTTTCGTATGTACAGGTACACACTTTTTTTTTTTAATGTTACATAAAAATACATCTATAGGTTTATTTATATTGTAACAGTAAATATTTACAGAAATATTTAAATAATTATGAATATTATTTTTTTTGTTGTAGTAATATTTTAAAGTTTAAAAAAAAAGTTATATATATTGAAATATTAATTGTTAGTATTTTGTATATTAAAATTTGATTTATCATATTAAATTCCGTGTAAATATTATGTGCATAAAATATTTGTTTTGATCTTTATTACGGTTGGGCTTTTAAAAATATTATCCAATAAATGGATAACAGATCGCTAACATAAAATTCTTCTTTTAATTTTCTTGTTTTGAATATTATAAAGAACTTCTTTGATAAAGATTTTAAGCATGAAAATAATTATTAAGTTCAGTTTGATGCTAACGTTAATATTTCGTAAGACAATTTGTTGCTAACATTTTATTTCATTTGATTCTAACAAAATCGTGTTTAGAAAATGTAATTTACATAGGTATTCTGTTTTATTTAAACAATTTTTTTACTCTTACATTAACAAAACAAATATAACTGTATATTATCTTATTAAATATAAATTAAAATTTAATAATAATTTAATCATTAAATAGTACCATCTTTGTATACTTGATAAATAAAAAATATTTGTAATACGTTTTGAAATAAAATGCTGAATAACAGTAGGTATCTAAAAAATTATATATATTTCTTGCGGGTAATTTAAAATGCTTTTTCTGTTGCGATAATTAACTGTCAATAATTGTTACTCTTTGCCAAAGCCATATAAATATAATATATGTACTGGGATGAATATTTTATTGAAACAATCAAAAACTTAATTTCAAATACTAACATACCAATATCAACGTAAACATTGCCGACCGATTTTATGAGATTGATAATTGATAATCAAAATATAATACCACTAGTGTGATAGCTGCAGATTTTGTCGCACCGTAAAATCAATTTTATTATAACAATAGTTATCGTTGTTATTGTTATTATAATTATTATTTTATTTTAGTAGTTTTATTGATCTCACAATCAACTTCGGCAACAGTGGCTTCCATTATAGTTACAATGTTTACAATAAATCACATTATGAAAACATCATGTTTTGTTGAATACATTATTTGATTGTTAGACTGATTTGATCCAGATTTGGCCCCGACGAAGAATCAAGGTTTCTACGATTGTTAGTGTTGAACTCTCATCGAACATTGTGTAAAATCCGCAATGTCGATGGATTCCAATTTGTAATAGTTTAGTACACACGTATGATGCTATCATTACGTGTATTTTTTTGTTGCGTAGAAAATCGCTTAAAAACCTGCAGTTCTAGATCTGTTTCATTTACTTATAAAGTATTCTTCGCTTCCATAATCGAGACGGCGGCGGCGGTGGCGGCGTGCGTTTCAGTGTAATTACCTTGGTATATCACGTACGCTATACCATATTATACCCACTTATTGATACCCGATATACCCAATTCAAATAACCCATATTGGGTTATAGATTCGCGAATCAGTTCTGTCGTACGTTGTGTAATGTGTAATGTGCGATGTACAATAAAAAAATGTGTAGTACAAATTGTACAAGTTACCATGCGGGGGAGGGGACAATCGTTAAAGGTGAAAAAAAACGCCGTATACCTACTGCCTACTTACTATGCGGATGCGCAGGGTATCAATTATTTATGTACGATAGAGTTGGACGATTTTTAACGTAAACACAATGCGATTAAAAAAAAAATAAATAAATAAAAATAATATATCGATACAGAAGTGCGTGAGCGTTAACGTTAACGGCAGTGCGCGCGGTTGTCATTAATAAAAGTCGAATGAAACTAGTTCTACACATTTTTGACGATGTAAATGTGACGCCATCATAATTATGTACCATCGCGATCGCTTTGATCATTAATATTTTATACCGAGATGTACCGTTACCGCGGTTTACGTACAACAATACTGTATCCGTACAATATTAAACGTAGGCGAACATATCATTATGACGTTAATAATTTCGTATATTTTTATTTTTTTACTCCCGATTAAATGTATTTCATACTCATTATACGTTTCACAACGCAATTCAAACGATTGGAATGAATTAATACAATAATCGATCGTCGGATTTAATTTGATATTTTCGTGTTGCGTTCAAAAAAAAAAAAAAAAAATAAACCGATGGATATTTTACAGGCCCACTGAAATATTGTTCGATCGTACAACCATACATTTAGCTATATACCCTTAGAGCATTTATTTTTAATTCAACCAAACAAACGTGAGCACGAATCTCCTCGAACCTGTTCAATCGATTCACTAAATACAATCGAGGGTATATTAAAATATTGCATTGTTAAAAGGGTCATTCGATATCGTAAACAATATTAATATTGAAAGCACTCGCCGTTAATTTTCTCGCGGTGTTGTGCAGTGAAATTTTCTTCGTAAGCAGATCGTTTTGAAAAATGTTTGTTCCCGGAACCACGTAAAACAGACCGAAAATTAATTGCAGAACGACTCTCGGCGCAATTCATGACTGGTCCCGGAACGGAGTAATATATAATCTTTCCGGCGATAGCGACGGCATTAGTTAACTATCGAAATCTTGGTACAGGCGATTAATTGTAACGGCATTGGAAATTTGAACGTAAAAAAAAAAAAAAAATGCAATCACACGGTCGGTTATTTAAACAGCGATCGCATTCCGAACGGACCCATTTGTTACCGTACGATATGCAAACGCCCGAGCCGTTCAACGCAGTAGCGGATACCGGATAAGTCCGTGCGACTAGTCGACCGCACCAGAATACGTTGCACGGCGGTGGAACGCGGTTTGGACGATCCGAGCGCCCGCAGAAGGATTCGACGCGAAAAGCAGACTTCCGTTTGAAATATTTTCGTCGCGACCAGCAGTGGTTCGAAAGACGAAAGAATAAAAAAAAAAACCGATACGCCGGTAACACGGCCGCCGCTGTACGTATACGTTCGGTGACGTTTCGTGACCCAAAAATCCGGTTACGGCAGGTATACACCGTACGGAACGCGACGGGGAAGCGGACACCGTTCCGCGGAGGGTATAATACGCGCGCGTGTGCGCTACGTCATCGAATTTCTTTTACGTTCATTTTCCCTCGCTCTCCCGTTCGTCCGCTCGTCCCGCTGCTCTACCTACCCCGCCGCGCCGTCGGTCCGGGGCTGAATTTTTTCCATCGTCAAAACGTACGTGCTACAGATAGACGACTTTGCCGCGCGGCGACGACGACGACGACGACGACGACGACGACGGATTTTCCAAATAAGTCGAAAACCGGTCGCCGCGGAATCCCGACCGCAACGGCAGCACCGCAACAATGGCTTTTATTGGCCAAGACTGGTTCTGCGGCTAGCCGGTCGTCGTTTCACCTGCGAAGTATTTTTATTATATTATTATGTGCGCGCGCGCGGTTTTTTTTATTTATTTGTTTGTCCCTCCCCGCCGCCGCCGCCGCCGCCGCCGTTACGCTCGACAACAAAACGCACCGCCGCCACCATCGCCGGTCGTCGGAAATACATTTACGCTTTTATTTATTTGTGTACGTGTGTGTGTGTGTGCGCGCGCGCGTGCAAACGTGAATCATACCTGTATACAAGTATAACGTACGGGAGAAAAAACAACAAACAGTACGCGCCGAGAGAGAGAGAGGAAATAAAAAAAAATACCCGGCAGCGATCGATTGTGAATTGCGACGATCTACCGCCGCAAAAAGCGTACGACAACAACAGCACGCGGCGTACGCGTAGACGTACGAAAGGAGATCGATAAATACGGGGCACCGCGACGACGACGACGACGGCAACGGTACTTGATACAAGATAACGCGAGAGACCCGTACGCGGACGTTGAGTGCCGGGCACACGTTTTACGGCGGACGTTTCTTCCCTTATCGAATCCGATGCGCGTGCACCCGGTATCGTTTTCAGCGCGCTCGCCGACCACGACACGGCCGTACACGTTCGTACGGTCGCGCGTACGCGAAATCCGCAGCCGCCGGTTCCCTCCCGCCGGCGGATTCCATTCGTCGGTTCAACGCCGTTAGCGTACGGAGTAAAAACAAGTGAACCTCATCGCAATCGACGTCGGTCCCGTCGCGTACACGTTATCCGCGCGCCCACCCGACCCGGCCGCACCGCTGCCGTAGTCGCAACTAGGGGGGCGCAATATGTTTTTTTTTTTTTTTTTTT